CCACACACACACACACGTTGAAATTTGGAGCGAGCATACTTGATACTTGATTCCGATGATTGTTTTGGGAACAGTGTACGTTGCTGAACGTTTCAATAGTGACAAAAAATGTAAACTACTCTTGCAGTCTGATTTTCATAGTCTGCCATCACCTGCGGCCACACACCTACGTCTTAGTTTATTGTCTTGTTGCTAGGGAATGGTTGCTATGTTGACACCGTTGATCGAGTGATTAACAGGTCCACAGAGGACGTGGCTGAACCGGATACAAGCCCTCGAGCCTGTGCAAACACCCCGTGGGAAAAAGGACAACAAAAGAGCAACTGTCCACTGACAAGACACACTACATGATAGATTTAATACATCAACTGTTAACTCTGGTAACACACACCTTGTCCACACACACACACACACACGTTGAAATTTGGAGCGAGCATACTTGATACTTGATTTCGATGATTCGTTTGGGAACGGTGTACGTTGCTGAACGTTTCAGTCGTGACCAAAAAAATGTTAACTACTCTTGCAGTCTGATTTTCATAGTCTGCCACAATATACAGGCTGTGTGACTTTGGTATCAGCGCCTACAGTACAACCGTGTGAGTGCCCCCCCCCCCCACACACACACACACACTCTCAGAGGAGACAACAAACCCGTTAACTTTGTCTAACAGTATGTCAAGCATGTGCGCGTCGGCCTCCATTAAAAAGTGAAAGCGTGGGTAAATGGTGCTGTGAAAAGTTCCCTAACAGGTTGCACAAACAGCAGAGGAGGGGCCCCTCCCTGTGAGGCCCCCGCCAAGGCAAACAATAAAAAGTCAGAGCCAGCCAAGCCCGACTGGGAGGCGCAATCCTCTGTCATTTTGTTTGCTCCGAGTCCATCCTCATACACTGAGCCCCCCCCCATGATGGTACACGTGCTCCCACTGCATGCCTGCTCTGGCTTGCACTGGCCAGCCCCTAATTACAACTTGGTGAGGATCTAAAGAGCATGTGCCACATAGACATACGGTAGGGTGGGGAGGGTTGGCGTTGCGGCCGCGGCTTCCCCACCGTCGACGACGTTTCTTTAGCCAAACGCCTTTGTTAAGCCTTTAGCCGCCAGGGCGGCGACTCGACTTGTTTAATCACCACTCTGTATTCAATATAAAATCGTTATGGGAAACTCGGGTTCTCTTGGCTGGCAACGACGCTTGGTAGAATTCGTAGGGTCAATCAACAACAGCGCCATTAGCCGATGAAAAGATTGTGAGGCCGTTAGCATAATTGGCAATGTCATTTTTAACTTGTTATCAATTACATTATGTCAAATGATGTTTTTTGTTTATGTCTGTCTGGATTCTCAGTCCTTCCGGTTGCTCGGCAGAGTTAATAGTGATCAATTAGAATTGTGTAACGTGACCTGACAAGAACAGAAACTCAGAACATCTTATGCAATGCCACAATTTAGTCGCTGTATACGTTTTAAAATTCATATTCGAGGCTCATAAATAGTTTTTTTTTTGTTTGCGGAACAATATAGAGTTAGAACTTTCTAATTTTAAGGAGCAATTTTTTTTTGCAGGTTAATGAAAAACCAAAAATAGGGCTACACAACAAATAAACAATTGGTCGGCTTTTTTCAAATTAATAACTATTTAAAATTTCTTCAATTCACATTGAAGCGTTTTTTTTTTTATTTTGTTGTCTACAAATTTTCAATTTGCAACACAATATCAATTCCAGTTTAAACTTTGTCGTTTTGAATGAGTTGCGTGGTCTTTTAGTAAAAGCTACATTTATTTTTGAAAATGATCCACTGTAGTGCAATTTTGAGAACCTTTATTTTGCTCTTCAAATTTGGTTGCAAAATACTAATATTGACTCCCAAACTGCATATTAGAATGTAGCAATATATTTTTTTCTGTACTACACTGAACATAATGGGGTGTTGAATTTACTCAGTTATTAATCGACTGAAACAACTGCATCTGAATCTAAATGATTTTCTATTGCGCAATCACTTGACCAAATAAAATGGAGTCAATTCAACACACCATTTTGTTTTTCAGTGTCGTCAAATCTTGGTTGATGTGGCCACTTGTTACTGGACAGAAATCGAGCGGCACAATCATAAATGCCCCTATGGCTGAACGTATTTATTTTCTTTCTGCATTCATTCATTCACTGCAACGATTTGACCCCAGTCATACTATACTTAACTGTGCTTTTTCCATTTGCTGACGACACAGGGTGCAATCATCGGTGCCCCTTATTATCGTTGTTATATCGGGGGGGGGGGGCAAATCACAAAAAAAAAAAAAAAAAACAAAAAACAATGTTAGCGCAGCCACGCTTACTATGCTGCTTCCCAAGCAGCCTGGGGGTTGGGGGGGGCTCAACCGAGGACACAACACAACAGATAAAGGACAGAGAGAGTCAGCTGGAACGCGGATGCTGCTAGACATAGGCTGTGCTAATTAAGCCAAACGCATTCTGTACTCATTTTGCTATTGCCGTCAAGGTTTTGGGCTCTGGTGGGGCACTGCCTAACTTGCCCCCCCCCCCCAGAGAGCGAGCTTCTCAGTGACAGTCTATCCAACTTGTTAAAGCGACCCCCTCATGTCCGCCAGAGTGTCACCTCCACCTCTTCCTCCTCCATGCTCGACTCATCACCACCACGAGGTCCTGACACTGGGCAGCCAGGCCCCGCAAATCATCCGCCCATGTCACAAGCAGACCCTCGTTTTGGCTTAAACGACTAAAAACGCTGTCAGGCTAGTGTCGGCCGGGAATCATTCATTACGAGGCAAAAGTTGACGGCGAGAGGCCAAAGCAACCTGTTGTCAGCCCCCCCTTTGTCGCCCCACCTTATTAAAAGAACATTTGAGCTGCTGTGGATGTTGTCTGTGCACACGGGAGACTCCAATTGTGTACAAATTGCTGTCAGTCACAGCACGGTTACGTGGGAAATCGGAAGTTTACGCCTGACCACAACTACTGTTTAATTGGAGCGGAGCTTCACTTGTATTTGACTCCTCTGCATCACTCAGAATAAAACACAAATTAAATGCATGTTTTAGATTCAAATCAAATTATTTTGGTCAAAAATGCCTTTTTTGGGTGGGCTTGTGACAGAGCCAAAACATTCTAGTGATCGACTTTTTTTTTTCTTGTATAATAATGCCGTGTCAAACAGAAGGAGCCCGTAAACAGTCATTCCGTGCGACAAGTACACGACGCAAAAACGTCAACAGTCGCCTCGCGTGCCGCTTCCAACCCTTTTTGCATATTTCACTCTGGTTTGAAAGATCATCAAGCGTCGTGTTATTATAACGTAAAGCTGAAACGGTTCCAAATGTGGCTCGGCGACAGAAAAATGACAATAATAACGACCAAAGTCATTCTGAAAAAAAAAATCAACCATTTTAACTAAATGGAAATAATAAACAAGTAATTGGGGGGAAAAAATGGTTGAATAAAAATAACAAAATCAAACCTAAGTCATGAACACCTCTGTCACCCGTCGAGGCGGCACGGACTTCACTACAACCACTATGCGCACACGTGTTCTTCAACACGCTTGTTCACGCCAACTATCTCACAAACACACAGGACAAAAAAAAAAAAAAAAAACGACAAAAGCTTTTTTTATGCGGCACCTACCTTGATTGTCTCTTGTCCAGTCCCGACTAGTGTGAACTTCTGGCGGCCCTTGCGTGAGCTCTCAGCATTTCCCCCTTTTTCACTGTCAATCAATCAGTCTTTGAATCAACCAAAGCTCCCATTCATAAAAATGTACAACAACAACAAGAAAAAAAAAAAAAACAATAAGCCAGTGAGGAGAATCCAAATGCGAATCCGCCGTTTAGCGCAGGTTGTCGGGTCTGTGAGTGAGTGAGTGTGTTAAGAGTGTGTGAAGGCAAGCAAGGGACTCAGGTTGTGTGTGTGTATGAATGTGTGTTTGTGAGTGTGTGTCTGTGTGAAAGGAGCGCCGGGGAGAGGAAAGGGAGGGGAGGGCCGAGCAGCAGCACTGCGCTGCGGAGATGTCGCACCGCTAGTTTTTATAGCAGGGTGGGTAGCTGAAAGATAATAATACCCCATCCTCCTCCACAACACAAGTGTATGTGCACCGTGTAATAAGCCCCATGGCGTAGACACCCTCTGATTTAGGTCAGACAAAAATGAATTTTTAGTCGTGTTCGAGGGGACCGGGGGCATCGGAACTCCGAGGGGTTGTTTGGGGAGATGGTGGGAGGCGGCCGAAGGGAAAAGAAAAAAAGAGAAGGAGAAAGAGAGAGACTCGGGGAAAACTATTTCGCCTTTTCTATTGGCAGGTCTGACGGCATAGAGATGGAAACATAACTGTAATTTAAAACTACTTTTGGGGATTTTCTTTTTTTTTTTTATCACAATGTGACACGAGATTAGTGGCATTTTGTTCAATGAAAATGTTGACAACTTTTATTTTGAAAGCATGTGGGTCTTGACTGAACATAGACCTATATTTATGCAAACAAAAAAGAAATGAAGTGGTCCCTCGACTTTTTCAACATAGGAGCTGTCACTTGGACGATTAAAAAAAAAAAACAAAACATTTTTTGGTTTTGAGTTGAAAGAGTTTTGAACGCTAGCTATGATATCAGCAAAGTTCTCCAGAAGAAGAATTCTTGAGAGTCCCGTGGGTCCTATTTTGGTCGAAGGGCGCATTTTCATTATGGTGCCTGGGCAAGTCTCGTTTAGCATGTGGAAGACCGCTCACGGAGCTGCAGCGCCCCTGACGCATCTGACATTTTGGTCACAAAGAAATGGACTGCGTTCGGCCTGGACCAAGTCTAGTTTCGCGTGTTGATGAATTTGCCTGACCGCACCGTGTCTGCTCGATGTTCCAGTGGACCAAAGTCGTTTTCGATTACACTCCACGGACACCCTTGCCAAATTAGTGTGAAACACTCAATTACATTTCAGATGACCTAAAAACAGGTCTAAATGGTAGCGCGGGTGTCATGATTCAGTTTCTGTTAGTCTCCAGCAGGTGGCAGAAGTGTCTGTTCACCTGCGCACCTGTTACCCGGGGCGTGCGATAAAATTGATATCATTTGAGATAAAATTTGGGATTTTGGTTCGAAAGGGGGATCGGTTTTGGGCAGATGGTATCTTGGACACTTGATGAATCAAACAAAGCGCGCTATCAATGTTATGTCAGCGGAGTGTGTTTGGTCTGAAACAAACCTGGCAAATGTGAACATGCCTGAGATATTTCTTTGTGTCCAACAGCACTGACACAGTGTGACCGTGGTCCAGCTGGCCCGCACACACACACACACACACACACACACACACACACACACAAGACGGCGAGCCCACTTCCCCTCCACGACAAAGCCCCAGCTCCCGCTGAGTGACACCGCTGCGGCCGACTCACACTGGCATCCAGTATATATAAACGGAGGGTTAGCCACTAACTGCTAGCAGGCCGGCCAGACGGCCAGAAAAACAACATAAGATGGCCTGGCTATTCTCGCGCCCTAAGTGGCACCTGCGCGGAGCGCTTTCTTATGAACCGACGCAAGCTTGGAGGCTTAATGGCGCCATCGACCTGTGTGTTACTTTGACGCCGAACACGCTCACTTCTCGCAAGACCAATCGGGTTGCTGCAAAACAAGAAGGAGGCCAGACTAAAATGACATACGGCCACCATTGTAATTATGAAGTGAGGAGCTCAGGATGAGCCAGACGAAAAAGTCGTGGACAAGATGTCGGCAGACATGGATGCTTATTTCCTGTTTGCAGCCTTGACCCCAAACGCATGTTTTTCTCTGTTCGGGTCACACGACTATTGTACTGCACAAGCAGAAATGGTCACTGTGGGATGGACAACTCGCATTTCCGAAATCACTACTGTTCTGGAAATTAAAAAAAAAACAAAAAACCACAACACAAAAAAATAAAG